TTATTATTTTCCGTTTCAATATCGTCTATACTTAGATTGTGATATTTCATATAAGCTGTTATAGCACTGCCTACTGCGACCCAAATAAGTTCAATAACATGACAAGTAGCAGCATAATCTACTACTTTTTCAAGTTTATCAAGGAAAGATACTCCTAAACTGGTGGCTAATTGATATATACCATATCCTGAAAAAATAGCTAATAAAGTAGTCAATATACATTTGTTCATATGCTAACTACCAAGTAGCAAACAGATTTCAGGCCTAGTTTTGCATAATGATATTAACTGACAAAATATAGCTTGGTCAGCAGATATATCTAAAAAGTTATTTGAACCCATTCCAATATCATTAAAATACATGTTTACTGCTTGGTGAACATTAATATCATTATATAGATTGTCTTCAGGCTTTAATATAACAATATTAGGTTGAGGTAGATTACAGCCAATTGGTATCTTTTTTTGTAGCTCAGACTTTATATCAAAGATATCATAATCTTGCCATTTATTCATGAAACATTTCCTCAAATTGTTGAATTTTTGATTTAATAAATTCTGATTGTCTGATTTGAAAACCAAAATGTTCTGAATTAGATAATGCAACCAGATTTGATATTTTATCTGATAATCGATATTGAGCTACTATTTGAAGCGTAAAATATGCTGTTTTTCTTGTTACATTATAAATATTATCGTAACTAAATGTACTTTCTTGAAGATCAAGGTTGTCTACTATGCAAATATTCCACAAATCATCTCCTTTCTATAGATTTTTTTCTATATTAATTTGTTCTCACCATTGCTTTTCTAATCATTTTTTATATCGATTTGTATGTGCTACAACATTAGCAGTGCATAATATAGTATATAAAGATATTTGTAAACAGGGCTTTTGACAAAGCGAACTAAGGACGTAGATAAACCAAATATTAAGTCCAGAAAAAGCAATTGTTAATAGCACCGAAATAAAAAATATAAAATTTTTTTAGCACGCGTTTCATCATAATCCTTTTCTAACATTCCTCTTTCATTTCACTTTCTTACTACAATTTTCTATTTGTATTCTTGAATAGTATTTATTAGTCTATAAAAAAATTCTGAAAGTACAAAATGGAAAACCATCCTGATATTCACTTAAAGAGCTTGGCATCTCTAATTTTGCCTTGTTAATACAAACATCTAACTGAAAACGCCAAAGCAAAATTGCTAAGGCTTCACCTAACTGTCTTGAATTTTTTTTATTATGTTGCAAAATATTTTACCCTTTAAGAATTTTCTAAGATTAATTTTTTTTAATCTAAACATAATTTTTATTTCTAGAAAGCTTAAAGGTTTTGGAATTATTCTTTTTTCATTAATAAAATTTTCCTCCAATTCTTCATTGTTATTAGTTTCTATATTATATACGCCTTTCGATTCTTTATTATTATTCTTTTTTTTATTTAAATTAATAGAGCTCGATTTTTCAAAAAAAGATATAATCTCTTTAAATACTTCGTCAAGAAGAATAGTTTGAATATCTTTTTCAGCAAATTCAGATATGTTATTTATCTATTTTAATATCAATTAAAGCGATTTTGGAATGTCATCACAATGTTGTTATATACAGTCATAGAGAAGAACTGCACCATATTCTTCTTTTATATACAAATGTCCACCTTCTACTATAAAACATGATGCACAGATATAACGTGTATATCTAGCGTTAGATACCAATTTAGTAAAATCATTTTCATGAAAAATTAGACAAACTTTTAGTCCAGTACAGACCATCTGAACATTATGTTCACATAATTGCTATAAATATATCTTACAATAACCCCACGACTAAATAGGTATTTGTCATGTCCACAAAATAAACATTTTTTCCTGTGAACAAATGCTTCATTTATAGAAACTTCTTTTTTTAGATTGCTATGTAATCGTTTATTATCAAAGTTAAAATGACTTGAATAAACTCCTAGTACATTTAATCTATTTGTTTTTGATGTTGTTATAATTTCATCTACTGCTTTAAAATCTAACTCCCATATGCCAAAATGTTGTTTTAATGGTCTACTCGCAGGGTTAGAGCAGTATTTTAATATTCTGTTTGAGTTGTCTACTAAAACACATACTATATGAACGTTTAATATTTTTAGTATTTGTAGTATCGATTTCTATATCTACTTCATCACGATAGCTATCCGTTTCATATAAAGATTCTTTACTTGATACTGTATCGAGTTCAGATGTAAGCCAATCTATATTAGTTTCTTCAACTTGCTCTTGTATTGTTTGTGATGCTGAATTAGCATAAATTCTAGCAATTTCTATTGCTGTTCCATCAACATGAAGGTCATATAAATTTATATTGTTTTCTGTATTATTTGTACTATGTGTTGATAGCGAAGAAGTTTGTTGTTCGTCAAAACTTCCTGAATTATTACCATCATCAAGAATTTTGAAATCTTTGTCAGGATCATTATAAGTATTTATAGTATTCGAAATTAGGTTGTTCATAATTAATATTAAAATATATATATATATATATATATATATATATACTCCAATCGAAAAATATATATAAGCAGCATAAAATTAAATCTATAATTTGATTTAAAAACACTTAACGATTAGGTTAAAAAAAAAGTAAACTGATACTATTTTAAATATTCATTCAAATACATAAATTGTATAGAGTACAATAATAACCGCAGAGAGTACAATAATAACCGTACAAAAAGTTTGACTTTAAATTGTTCGTTCAAATCTAATTTGATCTCAATGTTTGACATTGAGGCTTGGATAAAAATATATATGTAACCCAAAAATTACATAGAACCTAATACAGCTATCATAGAAATTCTATTCAAATTGTTCATTCAAACATATAATTCATTTTAGACTAAGATAAAAAAAAAAAGAACATAAGTAAAATTCTCTAATTTTTGTGTAATGTTATTGACAGTTGTCTCTCTTCAATTCAAGATTCTTTAAGAACTAGTCGTTCTACAAACCGTAACTTTCCCAGTAGCTAAATATGAAGTTAAGACTTACACATTTAATAAAACGCAGTAATAGCGAATATTATTAGAGAAAACGATATTTCCAACTTGAAGAGGGAAAAAAGTTGTAGTTCAATATGAAATTTGTGATAATCAAGATCAAGATTTAGTATATGAGTACAAAACCCACCCCTGCAGCGTAACATATCCCCTGACCGTTATAAGCACAGTTACAGTATTCCATTTTTATTCTTCATTAACACAAAACTAATGGCATCAAAAATGTTCATGGGCA